AAGGACCTGGACAGACTCCCGGGGGAGGGGTCTGTCTGTCAAGGACTGCTTCTCCTGGGGGCTCCATCACCTCCGGGCTGGGGGCAGCCGCCTCCGAGTTCCAGCTGTTGAAGCACCCGCAAGAGGCACTGGGTGGGCCAGCGGGAGAAGCAAAATGCGAGACAAGGAGGGGTCTTGCCTGGAGCTGACCCAGCAGGGCCACTTCCATGGGCTTGGGTTCTCGCAGGGCCAGTGCTGGAGAACAGGGTCTGGACTCCCTGCCTAAGAGACGGAGTTCAGCGAGGGACAGTGGGAACGCAGCCAGAGGATTCTCCGAGAGCAGCTGCTGCGTTGATGACCAGTCACCGAGCAGGTAGGCTAGGTTACCACCAGGATGGCTGGCTGCCGGTGCAGAAATTCTCTCTCTCTCTCTCTCTCTGGCCACACCCACACCCACGAGAGTAAGCTGCTTTGGGGGGGGTTGCTACTTTTGTAGAAATCGGAGTACTTGAAAGATCCAGGGCTGCCGGGTCTGCCGCTCAAAGGCTCTCCTTCCAGGCAGAAACGCTTCTCACCTGGTTGGGCGGAAGCTCCTTCTAAAGCACAACGCTCTGGTGTTTTGTAACAACCAGGAGAAAAGGGATGAGGGGCTGTTTGGGGGAAACCCGGTAGGGGTCAGCAGACAACCTGGTGAGAGAGACCTCCAGCTGCCCTCAGGGACGTAGCTGTGCTGAGTGGGAAGGGTCTCCCCCCAGAAGGGTCTGGCCAGAAGAGAGCACAGTCCCCTCTCTGGCGGGGCCGTGTGATGAGAGGGCAGGGCAGCATCCCCTCTGGGGGAGAGCGCAGGACGGAGGGGCCCCTAGCAAGTCTTCAGGAGGACTCCCAAGCTGGTCCGAAGGGCTTTTGGTGGGCAGGGCTGGCGCGGGGAGCAACTCCAATTGCCCCTGGGGAGGGAGAGGGGCCAGGAAAGGGGGCTTCCAGCAGGGTGGGCAGAGGCGACCGTTCGCAGTTTGGAGAGGGGGCACCACATTACAGGGTGGGCAGGGGAGCCCTTTTCCACCAGAACTTGGGGCTTTTAAACGTTTTTTAAGATGCTGATGGGCCCCTTTCATCTTGTTCATAATGCAGATTACTTGTTTTCATCTGTTCCTCACTCAAGACGGCAGGATAATCGTGGTCAAATCAGGGGGCCGGAGTGCCGTAGGCAGCAGCAGATTTTCCAAGAAAACGAGAACTTGGAGGCGGAGAAATTTTGTGGGCT